GAGGGACTTGAATCCACCGCCTCCGGGTCAACTTCTTCCAGGCAGAGGAAGGCAGCCAGCCGGTCAAAGGACACCCGGCCCTGGGGACACCAAAGCCCAAGGTCACGCACGCCAGAAGGGCAGAAAAAGAACTCAGGCTTCGGGCGTGGGGTGCCTCAAGATGGTGAGGGAACTTCCCGTCCATCAAGCTCTGCTCGTGCGCAAGGCATTAGTGCAAAGCTTTTTGGGTGACAGAGAATGATGCGTATGGAGGCCACCTCCTTGCTCCCAATTAGCATCACTGGTACAACCCAGCCGCCATTCTGCAGACCGAACCCAGGAACAGGATGGTTGGTGGCCTCTGCTGTCATCGGGCCATTATCAAGAATGATTCCAGACGTCGTCCACCTGGGGCGCCCTCTCTGCTCCCACCCCCAAAGCCCATCTTTGGGAACGAACCGGGAGGCCGCTTAAATAGGGACGGCTCGGCTAGGCGAATGCCCGCTCACGTTCGCCGCGTCCGAGGAGGCAGCACGTGCGCAGAGAGTGTTCAAGGGGGAGAAATGGGATCCCGCTGCCTCGTGTGAAAGGGACGCGGAACGAGCTCTCGCGCGTGGGTGGCCGTGTGACTCACGGGCCTGCGCCGACGACGGCTCCCGCGGCCGCTTCGTGTGTTTCCCTCCCTGTTTCAACAACTCTTTCTTGCTCCCTCTCTCCATCCTCCCGCTGTCAGCTGAGGGTAGGTGGGTGGAGACCGGGCCCAGCCTGCTGCACCCCGGCAAGGCCCCTCCCAGCGGCCTCCCCTCCCCCAGCCTCACCTGGACCACGGAGTGGATGGAGAAGGGCAAGAAAGCCTGGGCCTTGTTGAGGATGCTGAGGACCGTGAGGGTGACGAAGGCTTTCTCGGCGTCCACGGCATTCTCCTGGGCCACCAGAGTATGGACAGCGAACACAACCAGTGCCACCTGGGTGAGATGCGGGGGGTGACATGAGCTGCCGAGTGTGGCCGGGGAAGCCCGAGCCATCAGTGGTATCTCTAGGGTCCGTGTGCCCCGCCCCCCTCGCCACCCCCGCCAGATCTCCCTTCGAATTCTGCTATTGATGAGGGCGGTGCGTGCGCGGCCCACCCCCTTCCCCCCACCACTATCAGTCTCAGAGACTCTTGGATCCAGGCATTGGGGACACTGCAGTTCTCCATCTCATTTCGCGGTTCTAGGCGTGGGTGGGACTCGTGATTTGAGAATCCCTTGGAAATTGTAGTGGCAGCAGCGGTCGAAGGTCCTAGGTATCAGCGGCATCTGTGGTTCTAGATGTCACTAGGGGTTGGTTCAGTTCTAAGTGTTGGTGATGTTTCGGTTCTCAATATCATCTGGTGTGACAGTCACTTGGTGTGATGGTCACTCTATGTGACAGTTGTCTGACGGTTACTTGGTGTGATGGAGGCCCAGTGATCGTACCTGGGGAGCCCTCACGGTTCTTAGTGATGGTACTTGTGGTTCTGAGTGTCCATTGTGTTGGCGACATCCAATGTCAGAACAGATGGCCCTTGGGAATCTAGATCCTTCTGGAAACAGTGGTCAAGGCCCACTCGTTACCAGCTTGAACGTTTTATGAAGAGTTTGGGTTTTATTGTGGACGCAGCAGTGAGTCATTGTAGGTTTGTTTGCAGTGGCATGACTACGAAGCCACGCTTTAGGAGGCTAATCCGGCAGGAATTTGTGAAATCACTCAGAGGAAGACAGGACAGGCGCTGTGCCCAGCGAGGGGCTGCAGTAGGGTGAGCCTGGGGTCCCACCTCTGCAGCTTCCTGCACCCATTGCCAATTCCCCACGGCAGTGGGAGCCGCAGTTCCAGGAGCCTGGAGCTCAAGACCTTACGTGGGCCACTGCCACGTTCAGGGGAATGACCTGACGGATTAGCCAACTCAGCAGAAAGTGGGGACCCCTGAGAGAGAGCAGGGCCCAGGAGGGGTGCGTTTTGATGGACGAGGTGGTCTGCAAAGAGAGGCTCCAAGATCCAGGGGCTCTGCCTATACCTCATCCCACCCCCTGCACCCCACCCCCAACCAAGACCATGCTCTGCAGGGAGACCAGGGTGACGTCACCAGAAACGTGGACACTTGGAAGGACACCAGAGACACAGAGAAGAGGAGCCCGGAGGTCCTCAAGGCGCCCAGCTCCCGGCCTCGGATGCGCAGGACTCTGTCCAGAAAGGCTCTCTCCCAGCCGTGGCACTTGACTGTCCTCATGTTTCTGAGGATGCAGCTGGTGAGCCGCGCCCGAGAGTCCTTGTGTCTCATTTGCTCCTCCTGGGACCAGAGGGAAGAGAGGGGAGGGGACAGGAACAAGTCTAGAGTCCTTCCCTCCAATGGCCGCGCCCCCCGACCCCTTCGGCAAATCCTGCTGCTTCTATCTCCAAACCAGGCGCGAGCCGTCTGCTTCTCGGCATCTCCGTCCCACGGTCCTGGCCCGAGTCACTGTCACCTCGGCCTGAACCACTGCAGGAGCCTCCTCCCTTTGTCCCCCTGCTTCTGCCTTCACAGGGGAGGATGCGCCATAACACAGGGAAGCCCCAAAGTGCAGGGAATAGAGGTAGGCCCTGACCAGCTGGGGGGGGTGCAATCAGGAAGGCTTCCTGGAGGTGGGGGTGACGCCCTGACTACCTCAGAAGTGATGTGGAGGCGCTGAGCACGTGGAAAAGGGCTAGGTGGGGTGAGCGGGGCAAGAAGGAGAGGACAGCATGGCGGGGAGGACGTCCAGGGTGTCATAAGAGGGTGTGTGCAGGGGCTAAGACAGGGAGGTAGGGCCATGTTGGGACTTGCAGGTCAGGCAGAGGGTTTGGGGGCCACCGTGCTTCATCACAGAGGGACATCGTCAGAAGGGCGGCTGTGTGGACAGTGTCTAGAGGAGGCCAGACAGGAGGCTGGAAAAACAGGCTCTGTGAGCCCTCCCTCCCTCCCGCCCTCCCTTCCAAGTATTTATTGAGCACCTTCTATGCACCAAGCACTATTCCAAAAGCTGAGCCTACAACAGTGAGCATCTCCTGCCCCGGAGAAGCTTTCATTCTAACTAGAAAGAGACACTAAATGGAAGGGCCAGGTGTATCCTATGGCAGGTTAAGTGACAAGTGCTATGGAGCCAAACAGCACAAAGTTGCCGAGCCGCAGGAGGTGGCGGGGAGGGCGCGTTGTGCCGAAACCAGGTGGTTAGGGAGGGGAGAGAAGCAGACAAGACTTCTGGGTGAGGGTGCGCCAGGCGGCGGGAACGGCCAGTGCGAAGGCCCTGGGGCGGGAGCAGACTGGTTTGAGGATCCAGGGAGGGTAGGGGAGGTCACGCAGCGAGCGAGGAGAAAGAGGTAGGAGGTGATGAGGCCGCATCGCCGCGGGCAGGAGGCCACCGCAGAGTGCTGGCTCTGACACCGAGGGAAATGAGAGACGTGAGACCTGCGTGGTTTTCACGGGTCCCCTCTGGCTGGTGTGCGAAGTGGCCAGGGTGAGGGGCCAGAGCAGAAGTGGGGACTCAGCGAGGGGTCCCTGCAGTGGTCCCAGGGAGGGACAGTGGGACTTAGAGAGCCTAGGGTGAGAAGGGGCCATGTCGTGGATGCACTCTGAAGATGAGGCCACCCGAATCAGCTGACGGAGAGGGTGTGAGAAGAGAGAGGCATCTAAACTGACCCATGGTTTGAATGCCGGAGGGACAGAGCTGCCACCCACCGAGATGGGGGGACGTGGGGACACAGGTCTGAGTGACCGGAAGGACTCACAACGCGGCAGGGCAAAGCCGGGCCCACCCGGCCTCTACCCGCCCCATTTCCCTGGCACGTCCCTTCTGTCACATGCCAAACCTGATGGCGGTTCCTCTTCCTGGTGATGAAGAAGTTCAGAGGGAGGAGGCTGAGGAAGACAGCGATGGCGGTGAGGGCAGAGGGTCCTAGGAGCTGGAAGCAGAGGGGAGGACATCACGAGATGTCCCCGGGAGCCCAGCGGCAGACCCCGAGGGATTCGGCCAGGGGTTGGGGGTGAGGGACTCAGATTTGTTTGTTTCCTAAGGCAAGGGAGTGTCGGGGGGTCTGATGAGGGCAGCCACCAGGTTACGGGGACCAAGACTCGTGGGGCAGACACCTAGGAGGAGACGCCTGCTGAAGATGGAGACCTTACGTCTCAGGGAGTGGAAATGACCCACTTCGCACGATGTGGGGTGTATGTCCGAGACAGGTCGTGCATCTAGACAGGAGGGGCGGGGGAGTGGGGAGGGGGCATGCCTAGCCAGAATGGTGAAGTCAGACCTCTGGAATCAGGATCCGGGTTCAAATCCTGACTCTGACACTTACTCATGTGGCCTTGGGCACGTGGCTTACCCTGTGTAAACTGCAGTTTCCTCGTCTGTCACATGGAAACAGAGGTGTTCCCCACGGCCAAGAGTGTGTGCTCATGTCATAGAGTCAGTGGTAACCCTAGTGTTCATTTCGCCCCTGACAAGATTTAGCAAATAAACCCAGGAGGCCCCGCCGCCCGCCCCAGCTAAACTAGGATTCCAGAGAAACGGCAAGAAAGTTTTTAGTATAAGCATATCCCATGGAATATTTGGGATATACTTATACTAAAAAATTATTCAGTTTACCTGAAATTCATATTTAACTGGACATCCTGTATTTTGTCTGGCAGCCCTTCCCCCAACCACCTGGGAACTTTGGGACAGATATGTTCCCTTCTTAACTCTGGTTTCTTTACCTGGTACATATAGAGGTAGTGGGGTAAGATAAATGATTTTTAAGTGACTGTGACTTTTTGAGATTCCCCTTGAGGTCGTTTGAGCCCATTCTCTCGGCAAAGGTCACTCGTCTCAGGTCTGTGGGCCTAGGTTTCTCCTCTCAGCCAAAAAGAGTTTTCGAATCTTTTGACAACTCAAGCCGCCGGTTTGTTTCATTTATGCGACAATGGCACCGCCTAGTGGCCTAATAGAGAAGTGCCCAGAAGGCAAACACCAGCCATCTCAGCCAGGGCTGGGAAAATATTCAGAGAGGTGTCAGCAGAAGGTTAAGCTCTCTCCGGCAAAATGCCATCGTTTTGTAAAAAGGCTTCAAATGCTACCTAGAGCAACCCCAACGCCCAGCCTTCCTTAACCAGGATCTCGGGGGTGACCCTCTGATGTTAGGGATTGTCGGCCAAGACGCCGGGAAAGGGCTGGCTGTGTCATCTGCAGCTTCGCTTGGCTCGTGGGTCGGCCTGCTAACTGCCCTGCATTCTCCCAAGTGTCCTTCCTCCCTCGCCGGGTGGAAGCTGTGGTAGAGGAACATGATGACCCCGTGCACGAGGTGGCCTTCGGGAGTGTTTCACACTCACTCACGATCATATGCCATCGATGAGCCCACCCCGGGGCCCGCGAACGGTGGCACATGGGCTAGGTCCCACCTCCTGCTTTTGGACGGCCCATGAGCTGTTCCAAAAAAAAAAAAAAATCCTCATGGCTTTTAAATTTTTAAATGGTCGAAGGAAATCGAAAGAAGTATAATTTCGTGATGTGAAAATTCTGCGATATTCAGACTGAATCTGTGGCCACTTTTGCACTGGAAGGGACAGAGTCGAATAGTTTTGAGAAGGACTGTATGGCCCTCAGTGTCTAAAATGTTTACGATCTGGTCTGTTACAGAAAAATGTGTGAGCTTCGCGCTCACCCCTGGAGCAGAGCTGAGGTGGGAACTTGAGACGAATCACACGTCCCCTACCAACAAGCCGACCCAACACCTACGGGTTACAGCTGTGTGCCAGACACCGTTCTCGGTGTCTCATTTCATACCAAACATCGAAGGCAGGGGCGGTGTTGCTCATTGAGATCCTCATTTTACAGGTGAGGAAATGGGGCGCAGACAGGCTATTACTCGTGCAAGGTTTTTATAACTGGCAAGTGGTAAAAGTGAGATTTGAAGCCTGGCAGTCCCACTCCAAAGTCTGTGACAGAAAGAAAAGGGAGAGAGGGAGAGAGAGAGAGGGAGAGAGAGAGAAAGGAAGAAAGGAGGAAAGAAAAAAAGAAAGAAAACCCTATGCCACAAACTAGATAAAAGAAAATCAGAAAAAGTTCTGAATTTTTTCTTTTTCTTTTTTTTTTGGCTACATGGCCACTTCACACTTTTCGAAAACTAGGTATCCTATTTTTTCCCCTAAGATGTTCTGTCTTTTTTGATGATGGTGCTGGTGTCCTAGCGTCACTGGTAACTTCCGATAGGTTTCATCTGTCTACTGGGTACCCCGATATGGCACCCAGAAGTGTCAATGTCATCGTCATCATGTTACAGATGGGGAAACTGAGGCTCGGGGAGGGCGAGCACCCTGCCCAAGGTCAAGTGCGGGCCGTCCTCATCTAAGATGTTGCCCATTATGTCAGTCCACAGTGTGTGCAGATAAAGACAGGACGAAGAGAAGAGGAGGGCGGGGAGGGGGGAAGGATTCAGCTCGAACCCCGGCTCCCTCCGCCCAGCACACCTGCCAGAGGTAAACAAAGCAGACGATGATCCAAATGAGTGGCAGCCACAGCCCATTGAGGTACATGACGCTCTCGGTCACCCGCTGCACATCCACAGACACCAGGTTGACCACGTCCCCAACGGCACTGGTCTTTCTGGAGCCGCTGGACAGAGCCAGGACCTGGGTGGGGCAAGAGGAATAAGATGTGAGTCAGGGGAAGGACAAGGCAAGGTGGGTGGGGGGAGGCAGGGAGGCCCGAGGCCCACCCCGCAGGCCTGGGTCTGAGCGGTGCTGCCCCTGCTGGCCAAGCCAGGTCTCTTCACCTGCCGAGCGTGCGTTCACTCTCCTGTAAATGGGCTAATAAAAATCTCCTAGGCCAACCTCCCAGGGCCTTTGTGAGAATCTAAGAAGTTGTCAAAAAATGAAAATACTTGGAAATCTCTAAAGCACTGGAGCAATAAGTTAATCGCATCACACATAAAAACCTTGGATCCGTGACGATCGTGCTGGTCATGTGCTGAGTGCTAGCTAGGTCCCAGGCTCTGTGTTCAATGAACAGTTTCACCATTTTCTGTGGTCCTGGCATAGTTCCTTCAATCTAAAATGCCACGAACAAAACCCTCTCCGTTTTTGTATCATGACGGAAAAAAAAAAAAAAATCAATGCCAATTAAATTAAGGTGCATAAGACACATCTTGATTTCAGAAGAGTTCAAGTGAGATTAGAATCAATGAAATGCAGCGTTACGAACCCCATTTTACAGCTCAGTAGACTGAGGCACAGAGAAATCGGCCGACTCGCCCGAAGTCAGAGGGTTTCTAAGTGGCCAGGCCAGGGCTGGATTCCAAGATGGCTGAGGCACAACACGGGCTTGACAGGGCGTTACGCTGACCCCTGCGGGCATTTACGTGCCTCCCGGACACTGACCTGGTCCTCTGGCAGTCCGAAACCTGCCCTAACTCTGGGGTCATAGCGGACCCCTTCCAGCCTGTTGAATGCTAAGTTCTCCTTGCAATCTTCCCTCCGCTGAGTGTGTGAGGGAAGGAGCTGGGGAGTGAAGGAATCTGAGTGCAGAAATGCTCCCAAAAATCTTCAGCTCTTTTCTCGAGCTCTTGCCGACCCAGGCTGAGTGCTGGGAATACAGCCGCCAATGACATGGGGGGTGGTGGTGGTGGGGGGTCACTCTCCTGGGAGTGAAGACAGAGGGGAACAAAAATAAAGACTCCCGAAGTTCGCTCTGTGATGGTAATTACGACGAGTGCCGTGAAGACCTGTTTCAAAAGACAGGTTTTACTATCATTCGGGTCCAGCGAGGCCCGCAGATCGGGAGGTGGTCGTTATTGACAAGACAGCTTTTCTACTCGTGGGCCTCAAGCGGGGGCCACTGCATGCGGTGGGGGGCCACTCGGGGAAGCACCAGCGTTGGGCAGAGGGAGGGGCGGGAGAGGTGGGCGGGAGACCATACTGTGGTTTTCACAGGAAGGAGAGTCGGGCAGGGTGAGCAGGTTTGGACTGGCATGTTTCAGCCATTCCAGCAGGCTCTGGGGCAAAGTCCCTAGTAGAGAGGTGATTAAGGCAGGGGACAGTAGCCCAGAGTGGGACAACCCCATAAAGGAGGGGTTGGGGGACGGGCTCTGGATTGGCTGGTTTGCGTCTGAAAGGTATGCTCTCAGGTGAGTCATTTATTTGCCATCTCTAGAAATTGGCTAGCCGAGGAGGGACAGTCCCTCCAGGGTCAGTAAAGCCCCTAGATGTCAAAGCACCAGATGCAGAAAATAAGAAGCAGCCCAGGGAGCAGAGTGGGGTTGGACCTCATCAGGAGATGAAGGTTTCCCCGATGGGGCAGGGCGGGGGGGTAGTGGGGGGCAGGAGGGGGAGCGGTGCCCTCAGGCCATCTTCCTGTCAGCTTCAGCTCAACGTATGGACCCATGAGACTGCATGGGCCACACACACATAGCTCCAGCATGCTCAGGGGACGTGGGTCTGAAACACAGCAGGCAGGGCAGCATCGGGAGCCACCCGCATGCTCATTGAAGAGCTGTCCCATTTGCCCCCTTTTGCCCCCAGGTGACACAGCTCAGATGTGAGAAAAGGAGATTCACACGAGACAGAATGACCCTGGCTTGGATGCTCCAGACCCCACAGGAGCCAATGTCTTTTACAGCATTAGTCTCATGGGTTTCACTTCCAGGGTTCCCCAAAGGGACAAGAGTTACTGCACAGAGAGAAGCTCAGAGCTATGGCTTGCCACCAGCCATTCCTAGCTCTCTGGCAGGACTTCTAGCCCAGATGTAATTTACCAATGGGTCAGGGGACATTTGTACCATAAGTAGTGTTGCTGGGCAACATAGCTGACAGTCCACCTTTATCTGGTTTCCACACAGCCCGAAGGCGAGCCCTTTATCCTCATGGGGGATGAGTGGCAGTTATTTACAGGAGATGTTGTGGAAAGGGTGTCCAGGCAGTGGAGAAAGCAAGTGCAAAGGCCCTGAGGTGGGAGGGTGCTTGGCGTGTTTGTGGCTAGAGCAGGGAGAGCAAGAGAGGAAGAGGTGTGTGACGCGATGAGGTTGGAGAGGTCCCAGGGTCAGATCATCCAGGGTCTTATGGAAATAACCAAGGAGGTGAGAGTGTAGAGCAAGCAGCTATGAATGAAGTAACAAATGAGCATGTTTTCAGACACAACGATATTAACGGTTCAGTGATGTAACTAACCCTTCCTGGCTGGACCATGTGCACGTACATCGGGGCAGGATGGAGAGAAGGGAAAGGCTGAGGCTCACCTTTCTGTACACGAGGCCGGTGATGGCTGTTCGCAGCCTCATCTGCAGCACCTTGAGCCTGTACATGTGCTGCTGCTCGAAGAGCGTTTGCAGGCAGGCGGTGAGGAACATCAGCACCGCGAGGAGGTAGCCCTTCCAGCCCGGGGTCTTGGGGTCGCCAATAAACTCCAGAAAAAGGCTTGTGGGAGAGGGAAGGAGAAGGTGCAGCCGGTGAGAGAAAGCACCCATGGGAGCTGCCTCTGCCCAGGCCCGCCCAGGTCTGGAGGAACAGACGGTGTGGCAGATTTTTTTTTTAAATTGTTTTGCGAAAATGGCTACAATTGCGCCCTGTCCACGCTCATTTCCAATGGGCCTTGCAGCTCGTCGATCCAAAGGTGGTGTTTTCATTCCCACCTGTTATGGGCTGAATTGTGTCCCGTGAAATTCATATATTAAAGTCCCAAACCCCCAGAACTTCAGCCGTGTTTGGAGACGGGGTGCATACGTTAAAATGAGGCCATTAGGGTGGGGCCTTAATCCAAGATGACTGGTGTCCTAGTAAGAAGAGGAATTTGGGACAGACAAGGAGACACCTGGACAAATCATGTGAGGACACAGCAAGTAAGCGGCTGTCTGCAAGCCAAGGAAAGAGGCCTTGGGAGAAACCAAGCCTGCCCACACCTCGATCTCAGACACCCAGCCTCCAGAACTGTGAGAAAACAAATTCCTGTCGTTCAAGCCGCCCAGTCTGGAGTACTTTGCTGTGGCAGCCTGAACAAACTAACATGCCGCCCCTTGAATCTGGGCTGACTGTGCAACCAGCTTTGGCCAACAAAACACGCTGCAGGGAAAAACTGTGTCAGTTCCGAGCCCAGGCCTCAAGGGAAAATGCAGCTTTTGCTTGACGTCTCAGAATGCTGCCAAGCGGCCATGTGAACAAGCTGGAACTAGCCTTTTGGAGGATAAGAAACCACGTGGAGCAGAGACGTGCTGTCCAAGCTGAGACCATCTAGGACCAGCCAGTCCCCAGCCGACCCCACAGACACACGAGTGAACCCCAGACACATGAGGGAACTCAGCCAAGAAAGGAAGAGCCACCCAGCTGAGCTCAGCCCGAATTGCTGACCCACATTATCCTAAGTAAATAAGTGGTTTTAAGCCCCTCACTTGGGGGCTGTTTGTTACACAGTGAAAGCTAACCGATACAGTCAGGTTAGAGTCCACTTTTTCCCTCCTGGAGGTCAGACACTTTCTCATTTGTTTTTGTCCTTCCTCAGTATTCTTTTGCCCAGCCTCCAGTGCCCTGAGCACCAGAGGTGTAGGCAGAGGCAGGCGAGCTGAACTCCCCATCCCCAGCCCTGGAAAGACACCCATTAAGGGACCACCAACCTTAGCAAGGCACTGAAGGCCTAAACCTACCTGAGGAGCTTAGGGACAGTGAACCTGAAGGCGTCACTGATGACGAGGCTGAGGGTCCCCAGGAGGAAGGTGGACCAGAACACCTGCCAGATGGCCCTGAGCAGCGGGCCTCTCATGCTCCCTTTTTGCTGTAGGAATATCTCAGTCTCAGAGGCCTCCTCATCACCGAGTCCTTTCCTTTTACACGCTGTTGCCTTGGTGTGCCTAAGGGGACAGGAGACATTGGCTCTGGGCCCCTGCAATAGCCTGAATGTTGTGCCCCCCGCCCCCCAAATTCCTATGTTGAAATCCTAACCCCTAATGTAATGGTGTCAGGAGCTGGGGCCTTTGGGAGGTGATTAGGTCATGAGGATGGAGCCTTCCTAAATGGGACGAGTGACCTTATAAAAGACACCCCAGAGAGCTGCCTCGACCCTTCTCCACGTGAGGACATGACAAGAAGCTGAGCATCTACGAACCAGGAAGCGGGCCCTCACCGGACACCAAAGCTGCCAGTGCCTTGATGTAGGACTTGCAGCCTCCAGAACTGTGAGAGATAAATGCACGGTTTATAAGCCACCGGTCTGGCAAGCCAGGTGTCATCCCCATGTCACAGATGAGGAAACGAAGGCCGAGAGGGTGACTTTGTCCGAGGACACACAGCTGAGAAGCAAAAGAACTGGGATTGGACCCCAGGTCTGCCTTCAGGCACTTTCTGATCCGGGGTGCAGCCCTCCCTTCCTCCACAGCAGCCAGCGTCAGGTGGTCTAGAGCCAGTTCAGAGCCAGTTTAGAGTGGGTTTAGAATCCTGCTGCTGTCTAGACCAGAGCTCAGGCAGCCTTGACCCAATAAGATCCCAGGCCCTTAGTCATGACCGGGGGCCACAACGAGAGCTAGGGTGAGGGACGGCGAGGAGCAGGGAAGCCAGAGGACCCTTCCTGTGTCCTCGGTCACACAGCAGAGGCAGCTGTCGACCACCCGTTGCAGTGTGGCCTTGGGCTGATTGCTTCCCTCTCTGTGCCTCTGTGTCCTCATGTGTGAAAGCATGTGGTTGGTCCCACTTTCTGTGTCCCTTCCAATTCTGACAACCTAGGGGGTTATCATAAATTTCAAGGTCCATTTAAGAGCTGGGACCTGGACCAGGCACTGGGATCAGTCTGTCCTTTACACCAGGGACCTGAGCTCCTATGAGAATCTAATGCCTGATGATCTGAGGCGGAGCTGAGGCGGTGATGCTGGCGCTGGGGAGTGGCTGCAGATACAGAGAAACTTTGCTCGCCTATCCACTGCTCCCCTCCTGCTGTGCAGCCCGGTTCCTGCACTAGTCCATGGCCTGGGGGTTGGGGGCCCTTGCTTTATACCTTTTTACAAATGAGCACACCAACTCCTTTCAACCTCCTTGCCTAGTGGGTATCATAGGCTCCCACTTTACCCAGGATGAGACCGAGGCTCAGAGAGGTGGTGACAGCTACCCAAGGTCACACAGCAAAGAAAGAACAGATATTTGAGGCCATGTCTCAATTCACAGTTTACATATTGCCTCTGTGGCCCTCACACCCCCAGCAAAAAGAAAAAAATCCTTTGGCAAGCACTGGTGGCCAGACCCTTACTGACAAGGTGAAGGCCTTGTCCCTCGTCCCTGGCCTGGCTTGTTGTTTGCTTTGGCATCTTGGAGGGCTGTGGCTCGGCCTCTCTCACTGAGCTACGCATGGCCTGCCAGTCACAAATATTTTGGTATTTGGGTCTCAAATGCCAAAAAGATGTCACCTCCTCATAGAGGCCATCCCTGACCACTCTTCCCCATTGGATCCCATTGTTTAATTCATCGACTTCACAGCCACGCTCGCTCTCTCTCCAACTCTTCCCTGTACCTGTTCGTCCTATTAGAACAAGAGGGGAAAGTTCTTGCGTGTATTTGCCCCAGCTTAGTCCGGCTCCTGAATGTAGTAGGCACTCAATAAATACTTGCTAAATGAGTGGGGGAAAACAGATTAGGTGTGATGTATGTGAAGCGCCTGACAGGAGTGCCTGGTGCATAATGTTATAAAGATTTGTCTGTCTTCCCCTCTGCCGGGCCATCGGTAAGACAAGAGCCGTTAACCTAACTGGAAGGAAGGAAGGAAGGAAGGAAGGAAGGAAGGAAGGAAGGAAAGAAGGAAGGAAGGAAGGGAGAGAGGGAAGGAGGCACGGAGAGAGGAGGAAGCAGGTAACTTGGTTTGGTGGACTGAACCTGGCCTTGGAGCCAGGAAACCAAGGTTCAAGTGCCTGCTCTGTCCCCTCTCCTCTGAGCCTCAGTTTCTATCTGCAAAACGAGGTCTCGCGTGGGACCACAAGGTGCGGTGGGGCGTGTGAGAGAGAGGCTGGGTGTGAATGGGGGACACAAGAGAGAGAGTGGCGGAGACTGTGGCAAAATGAAGATCCTGTGCCTTGTCTGATGGGGCGGCCACCACCCGGATCCACTCTCCCGTTGCTGTGCGGGGCCGTGACCCAGCACTGCCCGTGTGCTTTAAGAGAGATCAGAATTCCAGATCTTTATGTGACATCTCCAATGTTTCAAACATTGGCAACTTATAAAAACAAAACAAAACAAAACAAAACAAAACAAAACAAAACAAGGGACCCCAAAGAACAAGAGCAACGTCACACCATGTGGGCCGAGTATACCCTGGGAACCTAACTTGGCTGGCAGGTGGCCGGCCGGTCTGCGACCTCTCAGGATGACATCCCCTCCCTTCCCCGCAAAATTGCAAAATATTTCAGGAACAAAACCAAAGTTCTCTCCGCGTGTAATCAGTCAGCTCCGTATATGACTGAGCTGGACCTTCATACACCCACACCTTCCTCCTTTCTTTCTGTCCACCGTTTGTGGATTCTTAAACCGTCCTGGAGAATGTTTCTATCCGCTGATTCCAATATTGGGTGACTTTCTTCCTCATGCCGGCAGGGGAGGCCAGAACTGGGAACAAGTGGGTGAGAAACCTCCCTGTGAATGAATTCTGCTACTCAGAAGTAATTTAAGAGTGGAGGGGAAGTTCAAAAAGATATGCCTGTGGTGAGAGAGAGCGCTGCTGTTTTAATTTGCTCATATTACTCACCCCTTTTGGAAAAACAAACCCCCTTCCTTTGTGGGGCAGCCCTATCCTTCCCTGTGCAGCCAGTCCCCCACCCATGGGAGTGGCCCCTGAGAGGCACGTGACTTGAGCCAACCAATCAGAGGCCTTCCTTGGGATTTTTCTACATGGATGCTAGGAGAGAGAGAGGCGCTCTCATTCTGCGAGAATTGCTGAACTGGCACGTTATGGGACAGGCTTTATGAAGACATCGATATACAGGTACCAGGTGAGCTGAGAGATGGAGGGAAAGATTTTGGACACCACGCAAGTCCCTGGATCCAACCATGCCGAAGGGTAGACCCGCCTTCTCAGCCATGTAGGACAATAGTCTGTATTTCACTGTCTGTCTTTCTCTTGCTTCTTCTAATATGTAGAATTCAACAATCTACAGTCACCACCACAAAATCCTAGAGCATGCAGGGGAACCTTGTAACCCTCTCCACAGAGCTAAGTTACTTTTGACCGTTCCCCCGAAACACCAAGGTTCCAATGAGGTCAAGCAACTTCTCCAAGGTCATCGACTACTTAATGGCAAGGCTGCGCCTAACCCCAGGTTTAATTAATGTTAACAAGTCATTTCTCTAGAACGAGGGCCCCTAAACTCATTCCTCATAGAAGTTTCTAGAGACGCCAGAGAGGGCAGGAGTGAGGCAGAGTGGACAGGACTAGAAAGAGCTTGAAATCCTCTGGGTAACTGATATTACTTGAGCTTTTACCATTTTCGAGGCATCTGCGATGTTCTTTTCTAAATTAATTTTTTTTTTCATCTCCCACAAGCTATGGGCCAGGCACTCACGACATCCCCATTGAACAGATAAGAAAATTGAGGGCCAGGAGACTAATCACTCAGGTGAGTGAGTAATGGGCAGCATGTGTGGCCCACCACCCAACTCTCCACCCCGAGTCTTAAAATATTCCTTCTGTATCCTGCCCGCCATCCCACCATTCGAGCTCCCTTCTGGGGACCTGGAGGAGCCCCCACTTTGTTGGCGTTCTTGGGGAACCCACAAAGCACTCTGGGAGGAAATGCACCTTGAGCCTGACCAGTTCCTGCTTCGTGAGATCGGGAAGGGGACTGTGGAGGCGGAGCCCAGAGTAGGGCCGGGGCCCTATTTGGGGCCGAGTGACTCGGGGCTTTGCTGACCAAGCACCGAGCACCACGCTGACCGCCCAGCTTCCACACACTCACCGCTGGGCCGCACTGCGGTTCCTCGCCCACTGCCTTTCCAACTGGGAGACGAGTTCTTCCGAGGAGTTTTCTCTCCCAAGCGACCAGAAGTCTTTGGATCCCAGTGGTCTCCTGTAGCCCCTCCACACCAGCCTGTAAAAGAGGGCCACCCAGGCAAGCTCCCCCCTGCCTTCTGCCCCTGCAAAGTCCTGGCCTGGTGGCTTTGCAATAAATACTTGCTAAATGAGTGGGGGAAAACAGATTAGGTGTGATGTATGTGAAGCGCCTGACAGGAGCGCCGCGTGACCCTGGGTAAGTCTCTTTCTCTGTCTTCCCCTCTGCCGGGCCATCGGTAAGACAAGAGCCGTTAACCTAACTGCACCTAACGTTTGCGGGGCACTCTGCAGTCTACAAAGATCATCCCGTGAGCCCATGTGGTAGATTACTACTGACCCATTTTACATCTGAGGAAGCAAATAGAGTCTCAGACAGATTCAACGACTTCACCAAGGGACAATCTGTGTGGCAGGGGAAATAAACCTTCCAAGGAGTCAGAAGTCCAGAGATGAAAACTGTCGCTGGGGAGGAATCCTGAATTCCTCCTGGCGTTTTAAATGTCCCCACACTCCTCCTTGTCCACTGCTCCCGCCACGGGCCTCAGGACCTTTGCACAATCATGTCACCCTACTCAAACCTCCTTTCCTCCACTCCTTACCCGGTCACTTCTGATTTGTCCTTCACCTCTGGGCTTAGATGGGATTTTCTTAGAAGTCTGCTGAATGACCACCCCCCGCTCGCCTGGCCCAGTCTTGTAATGATCCCCCAATTTGAGATCTCCTGAGCTTTTTTCTTTACGATGCTTATTGCAGTTATGATCATTTGCCTTTTTAGTCTGATGATTTATTTAGATTGGCAGTTCTGTCGGGTAAAGACGGTACTTGCTTTTATCCTCACACCCTGGCACAAGGCACAAGATCTGTCACGCGAAGCCATTTATCAACTCTGTGACTTTGGGCACGTCACTTCCTAACAAAGGATGGCAATTTTCTCCCCTTAAAATGAGAGCGTCTCCCAACGCCTGGGGCTGGCATATGAGATGACAGTATGTAGTTGGCACATATTTGGAAGAGGTCATTGAGAGGAAGTGATGGCCCCTGGCCGTTGGAGGCTCCTCACCCCTCCCGTGTTCTTGGAATGTGCAGTCTGCCCGCT